ATCAATATTTTATCTTCAACCAAATATAGATTCAAGAATTTCAATCAATTTTTTCAGTAATATCTTGCCGAACCAAAAAACTTTTTTTTTAACTTTTCTATCTAATTCATTTTATCTGCAGATCCTTAATAATCATATTTTTCAAGTAAAAAAAAATTCACCTGTATTAAATGCCAGTTAAAGCCAATTAAAATAAACAATTCTGTACTCTGGAAAAATATCGAGTAGAACAAACGATGTCCGGAAAGGAAAGACTTTCCAATTACTAAATATTTGCAGTGCTACATACACGAATTTGGAAATTTAAAATCAATTATATATAAAATTCACTTAAAATGCCCATAATGATCCATTATATATGCTGAATATATATAACTCCAAAGGTTTGTTTAATTGTGGTGGTAATTTCCCAACATACTAACACCACACGTTGATTGACTTTATGAAGAAAAAATATTCAATTTCTCTCATTTTACTTATGAAAGCTTTATTTGAGAGTCAAGTAGTGCGATCCATAATAAAATTAGAAAAAAAAAATGGTATTATTGGGGTTTGCTGCCATGAAACACGACAATACCCCAAACTATCAATGGCAGGGAAATTTGTCCCTAATAATGTCTAATTTAAAATAAAAAAAATCAACGTTTTTCTAAATATTTATTGGAGACCATCTTGGATTTAAGCAAAGTGCCACATTTTTTTATATTATTTTATTCAAATATCACGCTAACGGTATTTTTTATTGCCACGCGTCATAATTTGCTACGACTGATAGAGAACTTAGTTAGGTCATGTGGCACGTTCCTATTAACGTATTAAGTTCGCTACCATTAATTCAGTCAACTTTTTCTACGAAAGTATACCACGTGTCACGAAATCCTAACTAAGTTCGTTACCGATCGTAACAAACTTCGACACGTGACAGTCTAATAAAAATCCATAGCATTTGGATAAAAAATATGACACTTTTTTCACTGTTACTAGTTTGTTGGTGGCGTAATCTAGTATAGATTACACAACGAGGATTGCTCCATCCACCAGAATATCTTTGGTATTACATATGCACCAAAAATTCGATGTATCTTCCATTTATATTATAACATGTGTCTTACTTTATATCAAATCACTCTCTCCTAATTTTAAAATAAATTATTTATTATTGATTTGATAAAAATAAAACACGTATCACAATATAAATAAAAAATACACCAAATTTACAGTACAATCCATATCATCAAAGAAATTTCCCTCATCCACATAGATGTGCTAAAATCAACAGCATAATATATGCAGGTTTTGTTTTTGTTAAGCCCAATTCAGGTCACCTTTCCTTATCATTCTCCAGAAGCTTCCGCTTTCTGTCCTTTTAGGCAGGGTCCAGGGACAAATCTCCCCCATTATGGCAAACTATTATATATATGGGCCTGAATTCGGACCAGATCCAACCCAACTGTCGTGGGTCATGATGCGGGTCAAATCCAATAAAGCACATTAAAATTTAAAACAGGTTACAAAATTCACATTTTAAAAGAATTAACTCAAAATCCAATAAAGCTTTAACTCCAGAACACTAGTAGTAGTATAACTCAAAATTAGTGTAGGATCTCAGTCGTCCAAAAGAAGCACAATGCAAAAAATCAAATGAGAAACGGGTCTTTTAAATGAGAAAAATAAAATAAAAAACCTTTTAATTTTAAAAATTAATCTTTTAAATTTGAGATTATGTGCAGGAGGATGGGAACTTAAATCCCATATGCAAATTTATTGTTAATAATGTTAAGATAACAATAAACTTAGTGGAATTTATTATTGTATTTTTTTTAGCCTTGTTTTCCCTTTGTCTTGCTTTTTTTTTTCATTGTTGTTTATTTCAATTTTCAATTCCTATTTTCTTTATTCCATTTAAAAATTCTTGAATTTTCTTTTTCCCTTTTCTAAAATATTATAAATATGGAATTCCTTACTGATGTGGGGCAGGGAGTCTTTAAAATATGTACAAAAGATAATATACAGTCAACGTCATTGCCAGAGTTTAAACATCTTTTGACAAAAAATATTTGAATAAAAATAAAAATATTTATTATTTTAAAAGTTTGTGAATTATTAAAGAAATAAAATAAATATAACAATCAAAATATGACAAGTATGGCATGACATCATAAATGTAAATAATGATAAAAAGAACATTAAACTTAGGGGGCGTTTGGTACACAGTTTTTTCTCGAATTTCCCGAAAATTGAATTTTTTTAAATTTTAAATTTTAAATTTTCGAATATTATTGTAAACTGAATGTAAACATTATATTTTTAAAAACTGAGATTCGGATAAAAAAAAAATTTCTCCTCTGCCAAAACGTCCCCTAGAAAAATTCTTTATTGCGCCTAGGGTTGGCAAAGCGGGCTGCCCGCCCCACCAAAAGCCCACCAAAAAGCGAGCTGGCCCGCTCCGCCCCCCATTGAAGGTGGGCTCGATATCTCAGCCAGCCCCGCCCTGTTTGGACGGGCTTCCCGCCAAGCCCGTCACATTTTACACTAAAAATTAAAAAAAAAAAAAATCAGCCTGGACAGGCTGGCGGGTAGCAGGTTTAGAAAACTCAGCCCGCCCCGTTCCGTTTGACGAGCGGGGCGGGCCAGCCCGGCGGGCTCGGCCCATTTTGCCAACTCTAATTGCGCCCCCTCTATTTATTTATTTTTTAATATTTTAGTACCAGTATCAATCTCTCAGCAAGCCTAGATTTTCGGGCTACTAATTTTTTTTGGGCTACTAATCGAATCAAACAAATTGTCCCGTTATGTTTTGGGTATTTACCCTTTATTTATTTTTTTAGGATTAGTTGCATGAGATAAAATATATACGTTCATATTTTTCTTTTATTTTCTTCACATAATCCCACATATTTTTGGAATAGTGACCATTTTGTTACTGTTGGCCAAAAAAATTACCAGACTGTCACATCAACAGTAAATTTTGCCAAAATGTCACGTGGCATATGTCGCTACACTGTGTAGCGAAATATGTGTGCAAATAATTCGCTACACAATGTAACGAAATATGCCATGTCAGAACCAAAAATGTCACGTATCAAAATTGTAGAAATTCGCTACACAGTGTTGGCGTGGCAGTCTGGTAATTTTTTTGGCCAATAATGACACTTTGGTCACTATTTCCATATTTTTATGTGTGTAAAAAATAAAATTTATGTCGTAGAAATATTAATCCCATATTTTATTTTTTACCCAAACCTTAAGAAAGTATGATCCCCAATAACCCTAATTGATGTGAAGTCAAACTCTAGCAATAGACATTTTTCTCATCAAAGATTTGCTTTTGTTTTGGATTAAAACAAAACAAAACAAAGCACTTTAAAATCAAAATCTGAGAGAACAATCTAAAAAGGAGAAAAGAAGGGTTGGCTTTAGTGCAGAGTCAGTATGGGAATATGCAGTTTTTGTAATCCTACACAGGTGCGCGGGGTGAGGAAGGGACGCAGTTTCGGGTCTTAACATGATAATCCCTCAATACTCTCAGAAAACGTTTGTTTAATTAATGATGATTCCCTCAAGCACTCTGAGAAAACTTTTGTTGAATAACACAATCACAACATTTGGAAAACTTATACTAGATTTGGTGGGGTGCGCCAGGCCCGTGCAATAGTGCAACGCATGAGCGACGCTCGAGAGTCCTAGCAGCAAGCTACTATAATGGACCCTCCCCCTAAAAAAATTAATTTAATATCATGTGAGCCAATGGCCCACGTATCAGATATTAAACTGATAAGAACAGATACTACACTTGATCTTAGCCAAAAGGCCGAGAAAGGTATGCTCTGTAAGATGCCTCGCTGTTGCTTTTATTTCTGACACCAGCTCTGCTTCTTTTGCGACTGGTCGAGGTGGGACTCTCTTATAATAGCAAACCATTAAACTTCCTAGTTCCTGTTTTGTTGATTAAGTTTGCGATCGTAATGTTGTTTCTTAACATTGTACTTCTCCTTCAAACATCTCCACTTCTTTGCTCATTGAGGGACGATTACGGGGCTTCAATTGAATGCAGTAACTATATTAATCTTCTCTACTATTTTCGTTATCTTCTTGAGAGTTGAGACATCTTCAATTCTTATATCTTTCTCTTTATTAAATTAATCACAAATCTAAAGAGGAAGTAAAGTTGGCTTGAGTGCTCTGGATGTGGATTTAAGTTCTTCCTCCCGCTTTCCATCTCAAATCAAAGCATTCCAAAGCTATAAACATCAGCTTTATAGGACACACTCCCACTATTTTTGTAGAACAATTATGGAGTCATGTAGCCAATTGTTCCTCTTGTTGCAGTTAGAGTGACAACGGTATTATCATCTTTGGGCACGAGTTTGTAACCTTACAGAAACATTTCATATGTTGAAAAATGCCTTCTTCACCATTTATAGATGAATGCACAAACAAATTTATGGTCCCTTACAGTAACTACAATGCCTTGCCAGGTAGAATAAATAGCCCAGTCACTATTCCTCTTAGTTGAAAAGTTTTCTGTAATTTGTATAATCATAGATTTATATTGGGTTCGCTTTTTGTCATGTCACATGACAAGACCATTTTTCTGCACACACAAATCAAGTGTGGGTCCCACGCTTAAAAACAAAAGTCAAACCAAAATCAGGATACGGCGCCGTATCCTCAAGATACGTTGCCGGATCCTTGTTGCAGGAATGAACAGTGTCATTCCTGCAACATGATTCTTATATTTCCCATTTATATTCTATGCGGAAGTATTATTCCGCTCAGTGCTCCGTGTTTGTATCCCGAAAATGATGGCGAGAAATATAACTATGGCACATTACTGTTGATAGTATTGTTGAATTTACTTTATTAATTTGTGATATATAGTGGTTTTAAAATGGAATTTGTAAACATTTAGTTAACTTTTCAAAAATAAGCTAAAATCCATATTGTATATTATATGTATATAATTATCATTTAGTTAACAGTATGGAATTTGTGAGTAGGAGGACTTCATAAATTGAAGCCAATTTCTTATTCAATCAATCAATACAGTAATTGATTTGTACTTCAACATAACATATACCTTAGGCTATAACTACAAGGCTACTAGCTTGATTCAGATGATGTGAGATCAGATTGACTCATTGGAACCACTTATTGATATCTCAGAGGATGGCATTGAGCTGCTATGACCTCTAGCATCCTTTGCTGGTAGATCTTCTGGATGTAGATAAGGAGCCTTACTCGGCATTTGTAATTCCTCATCTTCTTTGAGCATCTCTAACACTTTATCCATCGGAGGACGATCGCTAGGGCTTGTCTGTATACACCACAATGCTACAATGAACATTTTTTTTGCCAATTTCATCTCCTCATCTGTGTCATTTTCAATTGTAAATTCTCTTCCATCATGTAACCGATCATAAACCCAGTAAGGGAAGTAATTTAGGCTTGAATCCTCAGCCAAATATTCATTCCAATTCTTCCTTCTACCAGCCATCTCCATTAACAACATCCCAAAGCTATAGACATCAGCTTTGTATGACACAGTGCCAACATTTCTGTAGAAGAGCTCAGGTGCCATGTATCCTAAGGTTCCTCTTGCTGCAGTCAAAGACACAATACTACTATCTGTAGGATAAAGTCTTGCAAGTCCAAAATCAGAAACTTTTGGATTGAAATTCTCATCAAGAAGGATGTTATGAGGCTTGATATCAAAGTGTAGAATTTTCATGTTGCACCCATTATGCATATATTCAATGCCACGAGCCACTCCAAGAGAAATGGCAAACAATTTTTCACAACTTAAGAAAGAACTCTCTTCATGAGAAAAAATGTATTTTTCGAGAGACCCATTTGGCATGAATTCGTATATAAGAGCACGCTTTGATCCCTCAACACAAAAACCAATGAGTTGCACAACGTTGACATGGTGAATCCTACCAATGGTAGCAACTTCATTGATGAAATCTTGACCACTGGCTTTGGCTTTATCCAATATCTTGACGGCCACTAAACGGCCACTTCGAAGTTGTCCTTTGAAGACAGAGCCATAACCTCCATTCCCTAACTTTGTCTTGAATCGTTCTGTTATCTTCTTGATGTCTTTGTAAGAGTACCTTATAGGCATGATATTATTATCACTTCGTAGAAAATCTTCAATGGTGTCATACATAGATAAATGCCTCCGTCGCCATTTACGGATCAATAAGACAATGACGAATGGAGATCCAAGTACACATTTAGCAACACAATATAAGAACAAAACTTCCAAAGCTGTAAACAACATAAGCATGGGAAAACAAATCATAAAAATGGCGTCGAAGAATAAATTTGAATTTGAGAATTTGAGAATTTTTTGTAGAACTAACAAGAATATTTGAAATATGTGACTTGATTGATTGAACAGGCTTGTTTAAATAAAATTATGATACAAAGGAAAACCAAAACAACCTAACTAAAATCTTATCAAAATATTTAAACTATCCTAAAAATAATACAAAAGATTTACACTTATCAAGAATATTAGCTAACAACTCATATCAGCTAACAAACAAAAGAATAACAAATTAATCTAACAAATTAATCTATACAATCTTATCCCAATACTCCCCCTTAAGTTGGATCATGGAGGGAGGAGATGCCCAACTTGGACATTAAAAATTCAAACTGCTTCTTACCAAGAGCCTTAGTAAGAATGTCAGCTGGTTGTAAGGAGGTCTTGATATAAGCTATAGACATTGTTTTTGACATGAGATGCTCACGAACAAAATGACAGTCTAGCTCAATGTGTTTGGTGCGCTCATGGAAAATCGAGTTTGAAGCTATGTGAAGAGCAGATTGACTATCACAAAATAATTTCATGGATTGAGTATGATGAACACCAAGAGATTGAAGAAAAGATTTAAGCCATAGAAGCTCAGCTGTAGTACTTGCCATTGATCGGTATTCAGCTTCAGCGGAAGATCGAGAAACAGTATGTTGTTTCTTAGTTTTCCAGAAAATAGGAGAATTTCCAAGAATAACAAAATAACCTGTGACAGATCGTCTTGTAATAAGGCAGGTTGCCTGATGTGCCTTCAGCATATAGGTATTTTAGAGTTAAAAGAACGAGGATTTGACAGTAATTTAGTGATAAAAAGCATGATTTTAGTGAATTATTGACAATCTACCTTCAGGCACACCTTCACTCTGATTTTATGTTTTTATAGGAGGAAAGCTTGGAAATAAGTTATAAACAACCAACTCGTGAGAATGGCGTGAATTTCATGCTAATGGCGCCAAGGTGAAAGAAAATCACGCTAAAAGCGTGGTGTTCATGCTAACCGCGCCACAAAAGAGCTGATCCACTGCTTCTTCACGCGAATGGCGTGAAAGCCACGCTAGTTGCGCCATGTGAAGCCAATGGGCACGCTAGTCGCGCCATGTTCAGGATAATTGCCACGCTAGTCGCGCCAAGCACTTTGTGCTCCACTGCTTGTCCGCGCGAATCGCGTGGAATTGGCGCGGATGGCGTCGGTTTTCATAACTTCAATTCCGTGATTGCAGGAAGTTGTTGAAAACGGAAGGATAATCAAATGTTTGATAAGATTCTGACCTGACTGGATTGCTGCTTATAAAAAGAAGTCAGAAACCAAAGTGAAATGAACTTTTGCACAGAGAAGAACACGGAGGCAGAAATCGAAGCAAGCTTTTGGACTAAAGATTCAAGCTTTCTTCTTCTCCAAATTTTCTGGTTATTGTTTTATTCATGAATTCTTTTTCATACATTAAATTGTCAGACGTGAATATGTCTGGGTAGTCTTTTATTATTGTGGTAAGGGTCATAACCCTTGATGTGAACCCCTTGTAGTTTGGTTAATTTTTATATTTAATTATTTCAATTGCATTTATTTTATCATGTTCTTCATCTTATAATTCTTTTGGAAACCGGTCACTCTATTAGGATTGCAAAGGTGAGGGTTTTCAATCGAAATATTGAGATTCTAGTTTCTGACAAAGGGTAAAATAACAATTCATGTACGCACTAGGGATAGGCTTCATGAATTGCAAACGTCAAAATTCACTGATTTAAAAAGCTTAACTTGAAAAGGATTTTCTAAGGGATTAAGATTCTAATAGGGTTAATAAAGTTAAGATCACTGAGGAATTAGGGCTTAACTAATCAATTAACAGATGGTGAATTGTTTGATCAATGGTTAAATTAAATGTAAACATTAATTCATATTGCAAGGTGGGGATCATAAAGGTGTTGACGTCTTTTACCGCAATATTCTTTTAAATATTTTCTCAATCTTAATGTGTTATTCTCAAAACTTGTTTTAAAAGCATCTTTGAATTGTTCGCAAGTTCTTGAATTGTTCTCAATTTTACAACCACAATTATTCTCAAATCAATTTTATTAATCCAAGAGAGGAATAGTTATAATAATTTCAGTGCCTCAATCCTTGTGGAGACGATACTCTACTCATTCTTTATTACTTGGAACAATCGGTACACTTGCCGATTTTTGGCAACATTGCCCAATTTGAATCACAAAAGGCTTTAAGTTGAAGGTCACAATCTGATTGAAGAAGAATCCATTGTCCTGGATTTCTTTTAATATAACGAAGTACTCGGATGATTGCATCGTAATGAGCTTGCTTCGGATGCTGCATGAACTGAGATAAAGAATGGACTGCATAGTTGAGCTCAGGACGGATGATAGTAAGATATATCAACCTTCCTACAAGTCTTCTATATCGTGTAGGGTCTGAAAAAGCAGGACCATCATCTAGTGCTAACTTGACATTCTGCTCCATAGGAAAATCAACTGGTTTGCAACCAAGTAAACCACATTCTTTAAGAATATTCAGCGCAAATTTTTGCTGGCATAAAAATAAACCACTAGAGCTTCTTGCAAGTTCAGTACTGAGGAAATATTTCAGCTTACCAAGATCCTTGATTTTAAACCAAGTGTGGAGATGTGATTTTATTTGAAGACAAATAGCAGAATTATTACTTGCTAAAATAATATCATCCATATAAACCAAAACTGCAACAAATTTATCACCAGTAGAATATGTAAAAAGTGTATAATCAGCTTTGGATTGTTGAAAACCAAAGGAAATAAGTGAGAGGCGAAGGTTGGCAAACCAGTTTCTAGGTGATTGCTTTAAACCGTAGAGGGATTTTTGAAGTTTACAAGCCTGACCTGGAGAGCTATTAGTGAATCCTGAAGGGAATCTCATGTAGACTTCTTCATTGAGATCACCATGAAGAAAAGCATTTTGAACGTCAAGTTGATGTAACTCCCAACCCTTTGCAACAGCCACAGATAAAAAAGTATGCACACTAACCATTTTTGCTAGAGCTGCGAATGTTTCTGTATAGTCTTCTCCTTCAATCTGATTATTGCCAGCAATGACTAAACGTGCTTTATAACGTTCAATGGAGCCATCAGATTTGTATTTTATGCGGAACACCCATTTGCAAGGAATAGCTTTCTTTCCAGGAGGCAAGTTAGTAATAACCCAAGTTTTATTTGCTTCCAATGCATCAATTTCAAGTTGCATAGCTACTTGCCACATTTTATTTTGCATGGCCTCCTTGAACGTAGTAGGTTCAATATGTGCACTAACAGCTGCAATAAATCTCTGATGCTGCGTAAAAAACTTATTGTTAGACAAAAATTGATCTATAGGATACGGTTTACCTGAGGCGACTGAAGGAGTTATGTTGGTAGAAGAGGGTGTAGTCGTGGAATTGCATTGATAGTCACTAAGATAGGCAGGAGCTTTATGCTGTCTTCACGCACGTTGCTTCGGTGCAACCACTGGCAATGTGGCAGATGGAGAGCTCCCCCTATCGTGAGAGGTAATAATAGGAGACAAATGATAAGAATTAGCATAAGTATTCTCGAAAAAGGAAGGCACATTCACCGCTTCGAAAACTGCTGGGGATACCACTATCGCGTCGGAAGCTAAAGTCACCGCATCAGAAGCTGCAGGAGATGCAACCACCGCGTCGGAAGCTGCTGAAGTTGAACTCACCACGTTAGAAACTGGTTCGGGTAAATTGGCACATGGTGGTTCATAAATTTCCGGATTTGCATGCGGTATACCAGTTTGAGAAGAACAAAGCTTGTTGTGTAGAACAAAAGGAAATTTATCCTCATGAAAATTAACATCGCGAGAAATAAATACCTCATTTGATTCCAAATCAAAAAGCTTCCAACCCTTCTTATTGAACGAATAACCAAGGAGAATGCAGCGTTTCGATCTAGCAGCAAATTTGTCTGATGGTTTAGGCACTACAGTAGCATAACATAGACATCCAATAACTCGCAAGTGATCATCTGATGGAGCTTTTCCATGAAGAACTTCAAAAGGAGTTTTGCCATCAAGGAGTTCTGTGGGAGTTCAATTTATGAGATGAGCAGCGTTGAGAATGCAATCACACCAAAAATGAAGAGGCAAATTACCGTCAAATCGTAGTGCACAGGCTACATTAAGAATGTGACGATGCTTTCTTTCCACACGTCCATTTTGTTGGGGTATGTAGGCACATGATTGCTTATGAAGAATACCAAAATCTACCAATAATGTTTGCATCATAGATGACATAAATTCACTTCCATTATCTGTTTGAATGCTTTTTACTGATGTTTGAAACTGAGTGGAAACCATGTTAAGAAAAAATCGAAAATGTGAATATGTTTCTCCTTTATTTTGCATTAAAAATACCCACACATTTCGACTGTAATCGTCCACAATAGTCGAAAAAATTTAGCACCAGTGAAGGAGACAATAGCATAAGGACCCCAAAGATCACAGTGAATTAAATCAAAAGCATGCAAGTTGCGTTTTTTATTTATTGGAAATGGACTACGAGCCTGTTTAGCTCTAGAACATACATCACAAAACCAGCATTATTCGAGCTTGAAATAAAAGGAAGCAGTGAAAGATAATGTCGAGAAGGATGACCAAGTCTTCTATGCCACAGAGGAAGAATCCGAAATTTGTATTGCATTAGTGAAAATTGACGAATTCCTCAAGACATACATCCCTTCCTGCACATCACCCCATCCAATCGTTGTCCTTAAGTGTTGGTCTTGTAAGATGCAATTTTTGTCAGTAAAAATTACGTAGCATGTATTTGACTTTATTAACTGAGAGACTGAAATCAGGTTGCAGGTGAGAGATGGAACATATAGCACATTAGTTAGAACTAATGAAGAAGTTAATGAAACAATGCCACTCTTTATTGCAGTTGTTTGATTTCCATTAAGTAAACCCACGGTACAAGGAGATAGGGATCGAATATCAGATAAAAAAGCAACGTTACCAGTCATGTGTTGGGATGCACCACTATCAATAAGCCATGAAATAGAAGTATATGTGTTACCAGAAAGCTTGTCATATGACTGTTTAGAAGAATCAACCAGAACCAGTAATTGTTGAAGCACTTCCGGCGTAAGGCTCGGCAAAGAGGCAGTACCGGTTGTGGAATTTTCATGTTGGGTGGTGATGGTGTGCGCGGCTTGGGCAGAAGAGGCAGCATAGTTGGACTGACCACAGAGGGGAACTGTAGTAAGAAAAATTCCGGGATTATCGGAAGGATGAGTGTAAAAGGGAGAACGGGGATCAGTAATTTTGAAATTTTTGCTTGAAGCAGTCATGGTTCTGGCTAGCAAAGCAAGGAAGAAGAAAAGCCTAGATCTTTTGGCTCATGATACCATAACAAGAATATTTGAAATATGTGACTTGATTGATTGAACAGCTAAAAACTTGTTTAAATAAAGTCATGATACAAAGGAAAACCAAAACAACCTAACTAAAATCTTATCAGAATATTTAAACTATCCTAAAAATAATACAAAAGATTTACACTTATCAACTCATATCAGCTAACAACTCATATCAGCTAACAAACAAAAGAATAACAAATTAATCTATACAATCTTATCCTAATAAGAACATTTTTTATATATAAAAGAATCCTCCCGAGCAAGGTACGTAGCTTTCATATTTATTTATTTTCTCCCTTAATATTGTTGCTGCGAAAGTCTACTGATGCTACTCTATTTTATGGGGTCATTGTCCAAACTTAAAAATACAAAAGGTGATTGACTTAAGGGAAGGCATGTTCGTACCTGCTATAGAACCCATTAGGCATATTTGGAGCAGCTGCAATAAATTTGACCTGCCTGTTGCAAGAACATGCAGGGAACAATGAGAATTGTTATCAAATTAACTACATTTATCAACATCAATATTATCAACGATATTCTTATCCAAAATTAATTGAGTCTACGGTTAATAAATCCAAATCAAAGTAATAAAATGTCAAGGAAAAAGAAAAAGAAAAAGAAAAAGAAAATAGTAAATAAAAAATAAAATTAAAAATAAGTAAGAAAAATAAATTAGAGAAAAAAGAAATAAATATAAGTAACAGGAACTTAAAGTACAGGGTGTCAAATATTTTGGTGAAAAATAGAATACTATTGATGGCATAAAAAGTTCAATTATTTAAAGTATTTATTGAAAAATAATATTTAATATATATTTAAAAGACTTCTATTTTCTCATGTCACATGAGGTGGTATTTCTCATGGCCCACCACTTGTTAAACAAAAAAAAGACAGATTTCGATACTTGACAACATAAGAAGGAAATCTCCTATTATATAAGAATATAATTTTCCATATTTAAAATACTTATTTAAGTCCTAAATCAAACATTCTTTTATTGATGAGTTTTATAAAAAAAAAAAATGAAAGAAAATGAGAGATTTTCTTTTAATTTTCTAAAAAAAATTCATTTACTTTTATATATTTGTCAAATAGTTGGACAATTTTATTTAAAAAAAAAAAATGAAACATTTTAAATTTCCTCATATTTTGATAATTATAATAATAAAATTTTGTAGAAAATAAACTTATTATTTAATTCCAATGTTATTTTTTGTACCTAATACACAACCACTGTAGTGCTTGAAATACTGACGATCTTTACAGGGACTATGAAGCCAAGAAAGTTCGAAGCCATAAAGCAGCGTATCATGGATGTCTCTGCATGAAATGTTGCGGTTATTGATTTGAGCAGGCCATGATGTCAGATACATTAACTCCAAGCGACACGAGTCTCTCAGCCCCAAATCCCATAGAGATTTGCCATCAACATTCACATAGAAAGTGCTCCCAACTTCATAGGAACTATTCATGCAGCTTGCAGCGTCATCAACATACACATCAGAAGAACCCACCGGAGGATTTGGGCAGCTAAGATATAACATAAGCTTTCCCAATCTATCTCTGTACGAATCAATAAACACTCGATATGGCGTATGAGAGCTGAAATTGTAGGAGGTTAGAGAGTAACGAGGGAGGGAGGAGTAACCATGATTGACACCCACATCCACTAGTCGTATTGTGAGGTTGTGGTAATTAATGGACTTTACATAGTATTTTCCTAATCCCAAATACAGCATCAATTGGCTGTCCTCGCAGGATAGGTTGTACCTCGGATCACCACACTTGTCTGGACTGTCTTTCAGCCTGAAAGGATGGCTTATGTTATGAATCCCGCACCGACCAGAACACAGTTCAGCATCCATTGGCTTGCAGTTACAGCATCCATAGAGTAGGATCAGGAACACCACCAAAAATGCTGCAGCCAAGGATGACATTTCTATGGTCACGCACGCAGATTGCAAGTGGCCAAACTGGCATCAGAGATAAACAAAAAAAAGGATATCACAATTGGCCAACTTACAAGTTCGTGGAAGCTACCACGCATAATTGTAAGTTGAAGTCAACTAGTCTTCCCACTATTTCTTATTGTTAACAGTAGTTAGTGTCCACAATTGTGTGTTAAAGTCAACAAGTCTTCTCATTCTCACATCTTTGAGTATTCCACGGTTATAAAATACAAGATAATTGAATATCATATCACATCTCAACTCAAAATTGTAAAATGTTAGTTTATGTTCCTATCACGTATATTTCATTTCTTTTTAATGCGGAGATTTTCCACTCCGTGTTATTTGGGCAAATTGAGGTGTAGAAGTCTCCACCGATTGTGATTGATCAAGGCTTGACTTACTGATGGGAGAAGGGGACCATGGGATATGCTTTTGACGTAAGCTCTTATGTCATAGGAGGAAATTATTGGGAAACTATCATGAGATCGAAAATTCTTTTAAACAGAGATATGTGCTTTCCTGCAGCACAATACAATGCCCCAAAGACCAAATACTCACTCAAGATATGGGTACTTGTTTGGTATTAGTATCCTCTTCCATTGGTTTGTTGTTCATGATTTTCTTTAATGCACAGCTTGCACTTGGAACGGTTAACGACTGTCCAGATTTATCATGCGGAAAACAGGTCATCCGATTCCCTTTCAGAATCGAAGGCCGCCATCCACAATTCTGTGGCTATCCCGGCTTTGATTTATTTTGTTCCGAAAGTAACGAGACTGTGATTGAACTCCCAAACTCAGTGAAGCTCAATGTCAATACTATTGACTACCAACAACAAACTATTGAATTATCTGACCCTTTTGGATGCCTTTCCAGGCAGCTCCACAACTTCACTCTATCAGCTTCCCATTTTCAGTTCAATGGATATGATGGTGGCTATAACTTTTTCAATTGTTCACTGACGAATAGATATATGGACTCCTATTTGATTCCATGCCTAACCACCTCAACCTCTCAAGCATACGCTATTCCATCTGATATACTCATCGATTACCTGCCCCTTTCATTTTGCACCAAAATGTTTAATATTTCATCCTTCCTTTCTGGTTCTGTCAACGAAAATATTCTTCTTTTGACATGGTCCGTGCCAAATTGTAAACATTGCGAATCAGAAGGAAACAGGTGTGGATGGAAGAATATTACTGCCAAGAATATTACTGCCAAGAATGAAGTATATTGTTTGGCAAATCGCCAAGGTAACTTTTTAATACGACTATCGCATCCAAAAACATTACTAGATAGTTCATATTCAATGTTGCAAGCATTGAGTATATGGAGGTTCCATATTCATTAATTCATTACTTAGATGCAATCTTGAAGGTTCGAAAGCTAATTGATCATATGAAGGTTCCATGTTCAATTCACTTAGATGCAATCTTGAAGGTCAGAAAACTATTTGAACCATATAGATGAAGACACTCTAGGCCTCTAGCCTTACAAATTAATAATCACTTTGACCATCATTTCTAACACGCAGCTTTTAACTAGTAAGATCTTAATTAATACTTATTTCAAATACAAGGCAATTTTAGGTCTGCCAGCAATTGATTGCGTTTGTAAGTATTTGAGAGCATGCAATTTAAGAGAAATTCTTGACATGTGTAATGACTTTTTTGAGCGATCACATAAACTGAGTTTTGTTATGTGGTTTGCAGGTTCATCAACAGCTCTAGTGACCACAGGTCAGCTTTCAAGTTTAGTTCTGTTTTTTTTTATTGGTAGACAGTTCAGTTTTATTAGTATTAACCTGCAAATAAATGATCATTTTTCTTAAGATGTTTTTTTCATAAATGCAGGATCAGTCCTAGGGTCGTTTTTTCTTGTCCTGTTAACGGGTGCTGTCTTCCACATCTATGACTCTTACATTCAACGGAAAGAAAAACAAGCAATTTTTGAAAAGTTTCTACAAGACTATAGAGCTCTTAAGCCCACCAGATACTCTTATGTGGAAATTAAGAGAATCACCAACAATTTTGACGACAAGCTAGGACAGGGAGCCTATGGAACTGTGTATAAAGGAAGCATTTCCAAAGAAATTATTGTTGCTGTGAAGATCCTGAATGATTCCAAAAGAAATGGGGAAGAGTTCATTAATGAAGTTGGCACAATGGGTAGAATCCACCATGTTAACATTGTTCGCTTGGTCGGTTTCTGTGCAGATGGCTTTACAAGAGCTCTTATTTATGAGTTCTTACCAAATGGTTCACTACAGAAGTTCATAAATTCACCAGAGAACAGGCAGAACTTCCTTGGTTGGAAAAAGATGCAGGAAATTGCTTTAGGCATAGCTAAGGGAATTGAGTACCTTCACCAAGGTTGTGACCAGCGCATTCTCCATTTTGATATCAAACCTCAAAATGTGTTACTAGACCACAACTTTGCTCCCAAAATATGTGACTTTGGTCTAGCCAAGTTGTGTTCAAGGGATCAGAGCATAGTGTCGATGACTACAGCTAGAGGAACTTTGGGCTACATTGCTCCTGAAGTTTTCTCACGAAACTTTGGAAATGTATCCTACAAGTCAGATGTTTATAGTTATGGAATGATGCTGCTTGAAACAATAGGAGGGAGGAAGATCACTGAGGACATAGAAGAAAACACTAGCCATGTTCACTACCCTGAATGGATTTATAATCTTTTAGAAGAACGGGAGGAAATGAGAATTCATATTGATGATGAAGGGGATGCAATAATTGCGAGGAAACTAGCAATTGTGGGACTTCGGTGCATCCAGTGGCATGCTATGGATAGACCATCAATGCAAATGGTGGTTCAAATGTTAGAGGGAGACGTAGACAGATCCCCAATACCTCCTAATCCTTTTGCTTCTGCAGGACCAAGGAGAAACACTGCAACTGCAAGTGTGGCTGCGGCTGCGAGACAACTAACCCAAGATTTAGAAGTAATCCAAGAGTTAGATTGACTTTTATAACTTACTATATATGGTGAAATATGTTTGTAATTTCCCCCCTTCATTTTATCTTATATACCTTAATTATTAAAATGACAAGAAAATTTTAAATAATAGTTCTAAATTTTACTACCCTCTCATTTATACATAAGATGAAATCAATACAACATTAATTAATATAAATATAATCTTTTGCTGTTGATTCAATAATTATGTCATATTAATCCTAATACGGAACGAGAGTGTGATTGAACTCCCAAAATCAATGAAGCTCAATATAATCCTTTCGGTTATTCACCATCTCCATTATACTAAGGCTGCGCATGACAATTATTTTGATTACTGACACTGTTTCTGAATAGAAATGATTCTTTTTTATTCCTGTGCCTTGGAACAATTCTGAGAATCAGAATTACGTTTGTTAACATATTTTATTTTTATTCTGAAAATCAGAATTACATTTGATAACACAATTTTTTTTTTATTCCGAAAATCAGAATTACGTTTGATAACACAATAAAATTTATTTCTTTACTTTTGTTTATAGATTTCATCAATTGTATAAAATAGCAAATGACAATAGATTTTAACCGAAATGCCAAATTTTATATTTAAAAAAATTATATAAAAATTTATAATATTTTATTATATAGTTTTTTTACGACAAATGCTAATATATAATTTTAACTATTATTTTTCAATCATCTTCACAATTCATATTTTTTTTGTTTCTCATTCCCTTGACCATTTTATTTTTTAATATCATATTATTACCTTAATATTTAAACCTCGTCTACATTTCTGCTTACTGATTTAGATGTATTCAATTCATGAAAGTAGCTTTCTTTTTTATTCTGGCAAAGCATTTCAAATTTAGTACTATTACTAGATTTTAAGGTTCCAATTAGTAATATTGTCAATTTGTTTAGTGATCCTGTTTGTATAGAACAATTGTGGGTGTGATAAGCAAATGTAACTTCGCTTTGGAAATGTCAGGGCACACCAAAAAGGCAAAAGAGAGAGGGAAGGAGACGATTCCGCGGTGAAGGAGGGTGGTGGTATGGTGATATGTTGAAGGCCGGTGATGGTTTGCTGTTGGTGTATGATGGGTACGAGAGAGAGAAAAAAAACTGATTCTATTTTTGTGCCAAGAATGAGAGAAGCAGAAATTTTTTTATTCTTTTTTTTGTTTCCCAGCACAAAAATTAAATCGGTTAATCTGGGGAACAAAAAAATAAACCGATTTTACCAAACGAGTTTCTCATCCATTTTTATTCCCAGGAACAGAAATTACAAAAAAACTCATTCCGGGAAGGTTGTCATGCACTCCCTAATACTAAGGGTGCGCATGACAACCTTCTCGGAATCAGTTCTTTTTTAATTTCTGTTCCCAGGAACAAAAATGGATAGGAAACTCGTTTGGTAAAATCAGTTTATTTTTGTGTTTCCGGGATGAACCGCTTTAATTTTTGTGCTGGGGAACAAAAAAGAGAATCAATTTTTTTTTGTTTTTTGTTCCCGGGCACAAAATGAGAAACACTTGTCTCTTTCAATCACTCTCCACCACTACCATCACCACCACCATCGCCACCACCACCATGATGCCACTCCCACCATCACCACCGCCAGTGACGGACCCAAGACATTTTCTTTATGTCTGCACAATTTTTTTATTTTTTATTTTAAAGATCATGATCATGATTCAATTTTTGCTTCCACTTCAAAATAAAGTTTTGGTGAATCAACCAAAGTTTTAAGAAAATAATAGATAATAATAATTAAAAAAAAATAAACACCACAAAAAGACATTTGTAAAATATAGTATAATTGTAAGAGTTAATCGATCAAAAACCCACCTTTGTCGATATCTATTTGATTCAAAGTTAGTCACTTTTGTTTCACAAAAAAAAAAACGTGAAAAATCCCGTGAGATTCTCCTCCACTTGATGAAGATTGAATTTCAGAAATGTTATGTTTATTAAGATTTGGAGCTAATAAGGTTTATGTATATAAAAAAGAGAGACAAAACTAGGGGTGTCAAAATGGGTTGACACGACACGAATTCGACACGACACGAATACATCAACACTAACACGACACGAATTTTTATTCGTGTTAAAATCTTCAACACTGACACAACACGAATTTTTTGCGGGTTGACACGACACGAATAACAAGCAAAATAGGGGTCAAAATGGTAATTGACAAAAAAAATTTTAAAAATGGATCGAAATTAAAAAAAATTAAAAAAATAATAATAAAAAATTAAAAATATAATAATTTAAAAAAATACGGGTCGACACGAACACGACACGAATTTTTTTGCGGGTCAACCCGAACACAAATTTTCTTGTCGTGTCGCGGGTCGACCCGCGTGTCAAAACCTATATTGACACCTCTAGACAAAACAATGGGTTAGGGTTTAAGCTTTAAGCTTTTAATTATAGGGGTTGGTTGGGTTGGACATATTTTTACATTTTTTCTTTAATTTTCCTATTTCTTTTTTTTTTGCTTGACTTGAAGCACCCACCTCATGTGAAAAAAAAAAAAAAATTCTCCAACTTTGTGTTTGCAAATGCGGACACTAGCACTAACGTGCGTTCGCCGTTGACCACCGCCTTCATCCATATCTACCACCATGCCGCAATTACCACCAGCACCACTACCACGCCACCACCACCATTATCATTATCATCACCACCATCATCATTACAGCCACTGCCGCCATCGCTACCACACCATCACCACCACCGTCACCAACCACCACTATCATCGCCATAGTCACTGTTGTCACCACCACCACCATGCCATCACCGCCACCGCCACCATTGCCACCAACCACCACCATTAATGTCGCATCCACTGCCGTCACCACCATCGTCACCGCCACAACCGCTATCATCACCACCACCGAAGCAGCCATTGTCATAACCACCACCACTATTGCTGCCAACACCATCGACACCACCACCGTCGTAGCCACTACCGTTACCACCACCACCACCGCCACCGCTACCGCAGCCACTGTCGTCACCACCACTACCATGCGACCACCACCATTGCCGCCACCAACCATCACCACTATTCCACCATTACAACCACCGCTATCGCAGCCACTGCCGTCACCACCACCACCATGCCACCACCACTACCACTACCTTCACCATCACCACCGCCGCCGCCGCCATCACCATCGTCGGAGCCATTGCCGTCACCACCACCACCACCACCACTACCACCGCCGCGGCTACCACGACTATGCAACCACCGTCAACACCATTACCACCACCGCAGCCACTGCCGTCACCACCACGCCACCTCCGTTGCCGCCACCATCACCATATAAAAAGGAAAGTGATGATCCGAAATTTTTTTATGTTTAATAGGAATTATTTTTTATTATATTATTTGTTGTGTTATCAAACGCAATTCTTATTCTTGGAATAAAAATAGAACATGTTATCAAACACATTTTTTTTCTCAGAAACTGTTCCAAGGCACAGAAATAGAAAAGAATTGTTTCTTTTCATAAACAATGCCAGGGAACAGAATGATTATCATGCACACCCTAATTGACCGGGCTGCCTTAAAGTCATAGATATGTATGTAATTTGCAAACTCTTGTTATTGATTCTCACTATGACGCAGAGGCGGACCCAGGGGAGGGGCTAGGGTTGGCCACCGCCCCTCCCTGATTTTTAGAATTTTTTGTTTACTATATATATATATATATATATATATATATATATATATATATAATTTTGGGTTGAAAAATAAATAAATTTTGGACTAAAAAAATTAAGTAATTGGTCTGAAAATTTTAAAAAAACTTAAACAAACACAACTTTAGAAATTGAAATTGTAGTTTTTTTTCAAAGGAAGGAGCAAACTTTTAGGGGTCAAGAAAAAATTTTAAAATCATGCACACTTGATTATCAAGAGGGTGGCGAAAATCATTGTCAAAGAAGACAACAGCAAAACACACAAATATGGGTTCTAATTTTTGAGCTAAATATTGGGGAAGGAAAAGAGCCCGCATCCATTGTCGAATAGAAGATAATCAAGACCAGATTTCAAAATTGAATGGAAAACCAATTTCTTGATGATTCTTTGATTACATATGTTGAAAAAGAAATTATTTTAAATTTTAGCACAAATTCAATTATAGAAGAGTTTAATAATATAAAAAAACGAAGAGCAAGAGTTAAGTGAATTGACCTTAAATTTTGTTTAAAACTCTTTCAAACTTTTTATATTTAGGTTCATATATGATTGTATGTACTTTTCTTATTAATATAAGAAAAAAAAATTGCCCCCCTCTATAAAAATTTCTGAATCCGCCACTGCTACGAGGAATTATGACCTGAACTAGAAAAAGAAAGATACATGAACTTTCGGTCACAAGTCAAAAAGACTGGGATAAAATTCAATAGACAGATTAAATAATTTTGAAAAAATTAATGTCACTTAAACTAATGAATCGTGGACTATCATCAATTATTATTAGAGTCACTTTATACATGAGGGTTCGTGGGACTTTATCTTCTGCTCAAATTTTCAACAAATACGCGTTATGTGGAACTTTAGCCATTGCTTTGTTTTAATTATGGCCTACGAAGGTAACCCACCCTCACTTTTCCGCATCTAAAAAACCGTAAATTTATGGTTTCCAGCTATGTTGCAAAACCTGGAGTTAATTCACACAAATTATGAAATTACTTTGTCTTTTAAACATTACATATATTAGGTCCCTTAAGTTGATTAATTGGGGTTTTGTATATTTAATATTTATTGGAGCAACATTAATGGTTCGTACTGAAGAAGTAAAAAGAATACGATACCTGAATGGTTCCTGATTACATGTTTGATTTTGATTTGTTTTTACGACTTTTTTTTCCAAAATATTTCTCAACATATATATATATATATATATATATATATATATATATATATATATATTTTTTTTTTTTTTTTCAAAATATTTCTTTTCCAAAATATTTGTGTGTGGCTTTGGTTATTAACTATTTTGAACAAAAACACACAAGCGAAAGAAGCATAGATGTCTTTAAAAATAAAAAAATATGGATGTCAGTGTGCATTCTTAGGTAAAAAGTTTATATGAAAAGACCTGTTCCGAAATTGTCATGGTGACTTACTTTAACAAATGGTAATATTTTTTTACAAAATTATGAAAAGATGCTATTAACAAGTGAAGAAATAAATAAAAAAGGCTGAGTGTATTTCTTAATAATAATAACTTTTTTTAGTAATAAGGCTATTGCAATTTTTAATGGATAATATAATTATCGTTTCTTATAAACGTTGCTTCTCATCAATATGCAAGAAACATTCAACATTAAACATTCAACATAACATAAACCTTAGGCTACTAGTTTGATTCAGATGATGTGAGATCAGATTGACTCATTGGAACCACTTATTGTTATTTCAGAGGATGACACTGAGCTGCTATGATCTCTAGCATCCTTTGCTGATGAATCTTGTGGATGTAGATAAGGAGCCTTACTAGGCATTTGTAATTCCTCATCTTCTTCAAGCATCTCTAACACTTTATCCATCGGAGGACGATCGCTAGGGCTTGTCTGTATACACCACAATGCTACAATGAACATTTTCTTTGCCAATTTCATCTCCTCATCTGTGTCATTTTCAATTGTAAATTCCCTTCCATCATGTAACCGATCATGAACCCAGTAAGGGAAATAATTTTGGCTTGAATCCTCAGCCAAATATTCATTCCAGTTCTTCCTTCTACCAGCCATCTCCATTAACAACATCCCAAAGCTATAGACATCAGCTTTGTATGACACAGTGCCAACATTTCTGTAGAAGAGCTCAGGTGCCATGTATCCTAAGGTTCCTCTTGCTGCAGTCAAAGACACAATACTACTATCTGTAAGATAAAGTCTTGCAAGTCCAAAATCAGAAACTTTTGGATTGAAATTCTCATCAAGAAGGATGTTATGAGGCTTGATATCAAAGTGTAGAATTTTCATGTTGCACCCATTATGCATATATTCAATGCCACGAGCCACTCCAAGAGAAATGGCAAACAATTTTTCACAACTTAAGGAAGAACTCTCTTCATGAGAAAAAATGTATTTTTCGAGAGACCCATTTGGCATGAATTCGTATATAAGAGCACGCTTTGATCCCTCAACACAAAAACCAATGAGCTGCACAACGTTGACATGGTGAATCCTACCAATGGTAGCAACTTCATTGATGAAATCTTGACCACTGGCTTTGGCTTTATCCAATATCTTGACGGCTACTAAACGGCCACTTCGAAGTTGTCCTTTGAAGACAGAGCCATAACCTCCATTCCCTAGCTTTGTCTTGAATCGTTCTGTTATCTTCTTGATGTCTTTGTAAGAGTACCTTATAGGCATGATGTTATTGTCACTTCGTAGATAATCTTCAATGGTGTCATACATGGATAAATGCCTCCTTCGCCATTTACGGATCAATAAGACAATGACGCATGGAGATCCAAGTACACATTTAGCAGCAAAACAGAACAAAACTGCCAAAGCTGTAAACAAGATAAGCAAGAGAAAACAAATCATAAAAATGGCGTCGAAGAGTAAATTTGAATTTGAGAATTTTTCAAGACTAAATCAAGGTAGCTTTAATATTTATTTATTTTTCTCCCATAATGTTGCTGTTAAATTCTACTGATGCTACTCTATTTTATGGGGTCATCGTCCAAACTTAAAAATACAAAAGGTGATTGACTTAAGGGAAGGCATGGGCTTACCTGTTGTAAGTAGGGATATTAGGATCCGCGCTAAATTTGACACGGCTGCTGCAAGGACATGCAGGGAACAATGAGAATTGTTAACAAATTAACTACCATTTATCAATTACTAGTGAATCTAAGAGCTAGCCGGCGCCAGATGATGACCCTGATGATGATGATGACTTTGCTAGGACTTTAGAGGCATACTAGTTGTTGTTCGTATGTTTTACTTCTTTTAGGACTTCAGAGATATATCAGATATTTTTTTATTGTTTTATTTTGTTTAGAACTTTAGAGACATTTTAGTTGTAGATTTGATGGTTGTTGTTGTTCACTTTTGTTGATATATTATTTAATTTTAATTTAATTGTTTATCTAGTATTTTTTTGGATTTTTGTTGCTCAATTTATGTATTTATGTTCATTTGGAATCGTTGTTGTTTACAGGAAAATTAACAAAAGTTTAATACATTTTTTATTTTATTTTTATTTTAATTCCAGAATTTGTGGCGAAAATTTTCAAAATTCCCTTGCAAAATTCGTAGCCTTTTGCGAGGGAAAATCAAAATGTTCCCTTGCAAAATTCGTAACCTTTTGCGTGGGAAAATCAAAATGTTCCCTCGCAAAATTCGTAGCCTTTTGCGAGGGAAAATCAAAATGTTCCCTTGCAAATTTTGCAACGGAAATTTAATACAGCCCTTGCAAATTCTGCTACGGAAATTTGCGAGGGAAATTGTACTCGCAATTTCCGTCACAATCTGCGACAGAAAAACACTGTAGATAGGTCTGTTGTTTGCGAGGGAAATTTACTTTTTTGCAAGGGAAATTTTCCGTAGCAATTTGCGAGGGAATTGTCATATGACAAATTTCCCTTGCAAATATATTTGCGACGAGGGTTTTAGCGAGGGACCGTGTTCCCTTGCAAATTTCGTCGCAGACTGTTTTTGCAAGGGAATTTTGTTGTTTTGCAAGGAAATTTTTCCCTTGCTGATTGTGAATTTTCTAGTAGTGCCGGAGCAAATGTCTATTGGTAGTCTATTCCATACTTCTGTGTATATCCTTTGGCCACTAGTCTTGCTTTGTATCGGTCTATGCTTCCAGCCGCCTTTAATTTTACAGTGAACACCCATTTGCACCCAATTGTCTTCTTTCCGTTTGGTAAAGGTGTTAACTCCCAAGTTGAGTTATTTTGGAGTGCTGCCATCTCTACATTCATCGCTTCCTTCCATTTGGGATCATCTAATGCTTCCCGTACACTATTTGGAATTGACACACTAGATAATTGATTAACAGTTAATGCATACGATTCAGATAAGTGTTGGGTAGATACGTAGTTGCTAAGGGGGTATTTAGCCTTTACTTTGGGATCAGGTTCATAGAAGGTTTTTGGAATACCTTTGTTAATCCTAGAGGATTTTCTGGTGTGTGTTTGAATTAAAGTAGAAGGAAGGATAGGAATTACCTCTGAGCTTTGTACAGGTTGGATTTCAGGTTGAAATTCTGGGACAGCCACCAAAGGATCCTCGGTTATGTGTGTTAAACAAGGCAGATGATGTTGTGGTGTAGCTTCTGTTTGAACATTCGGTGCTGCTGCAGTTTCATCTTGTGTTGCATTTGATGGAGTATTTGGTGCTGCTGCATCCGATGAAGGATTGGAGTGGAGAGGTATTACATGAGTACTAAGCCAGACTGCTTCTTCTCTGTTAATTATTGAAGGTGAATTCTCCCCCTGAGAAGGAGAAGTAGAGACTCCCCCTGAGTAGTAAGGCTCATTCTCCCGGAAAGTGACTTCCAAAGTGACAAATATTTTATGAGAAAGAGGGTCAAAGCAGCGATACCCTTTCTGGACATCTGAATAGCCAACAAAAATGCATTTTTTTGCACAGGGATCCAATTTAGATCGCTGATTTTTTGGGATATGAACATAGGTGGTGCAGCCAAAGATTCGGGGTTCTAGGTTAGAGGGGTGAAGGACAGAAAAGTGAGAAGTAAGGGCTTGGTAAGGTGTTTTAAAATTAAGGACACTAGAAGGGGTCCTATTAATAAGGTAAGCTGTTGAAGTTACAGCCTCTCCCCAATAGAAGGAAGGAACATTCATCCCAAACAAGGCAGCTCTAACTACTTCCAAAAGTGTTCGATTCATTCTTTCTGCCAATGCGTTTTGCTGTGGAGTATAGGAGCAAGAGGTAAGGTGTTTGATTCCATGGGAGGACAGAAATACAGTAAAGTCTCCTGACATATATTCCATTCCATTATCTGATTGAGGAATTTGAATGGTGGTCTTAAATTGATTTTGAACCATGTGAAAAAAAATTTAAAACACAGAAAAAACTTGTCCTTTATTTTTCAGAAGACTCACCCAACACAACACATACGAGTACACTCATCAATGAATGTTACATAATACAAGGAGTTAGAGAAGGAAGGGACTTTGGCAGGGCCCCATATATAATATCCCTAACCTAATTAATTAGTAAATTACATGTAATTAAATAATTAAGCATGTTTTAGTGAGTAAAATTAAGTATAAGGCTTAATGAAACGAATCTGTGTCACTTTGGAGTTAAAAAGTGTACTCTGTGAAAATTAAGGGGTATAAATGGGTGTAGGCAAAAGTACCCAAAATATAAAAATAAAAGTGGAAATATTCCTAGAATAATATTCCAGACTTTTGGGTGAAGTTTGGTAATTATTGGAGTTGAATAGATAGATGAACCAATACCCACATAAGTCACTTAACTAAGTAAGTGACTTAGAAAGCAAATAAAGGAGCCCCATTTCCCCAACCCCTCCGTCGAGAAACAGAGACAAAGAAGGAGGAAGAAGAAGAAGGGAAAGGAGGGAGGAAGAGAGAGGGAGAGCAAATCCCAACCGTTTTGGGTGATTCAAAAGCCTAAACCACTCTAAATCTTCCCCTCTTTCATAATCCTAGCTTAGTTCTTAGTGGGGAGCTTTGTGTGGTGAGATATTTCCCCTCAAAAATTCGACCCTTTGGAGAAATTGAGGTGTTTGAGAGTTTCTACCTCCATGGAAGCTTGAGGTGCCATCAATCCTTGGTTGTGTGACCATTGGTGGAAAGATTCTAACCCTTGAACCATGTTTTCTTGGAAATTTCATGATATAGGGTTTTGAATGAATAGTGTTATGGGTTTTGTGAGAATTTGAGTAAATTGGCTATGTTGTGGTAGAATTGAGACTTAGCGCATGTTGAGAAAAATGCTAGGAATGTCATTTAATCGGTAAAAATGAGCCTAGTTAGTTAAATGACTATACTTGGTATATTGCAAGATTATCATGCTTGATGAAGAGCTTTCTTGCAATTATGATCAATGGGTTGGCTTGGTTGATTGATGATTGGATCTTTGTGATGTCTAGGATTGAGACATTTGGACCAACCGTGAGTGATCAACCATTGGAGCAAATTATGGAGCTTGATTAACTCCTTGGAATAGGTAAGCTCTTGCTAAGTTGGGATGTAGAGTTGTTGTGGTATTAATGAGTATATATGAATATTCATTGTATAGTATGATTGATGCTATGGCACCTTGGTGTAGGTGTGTTACTTGTAAGTCATCGTTGAAACCAAAGTTGATTGGTTGCTGAACCGTTGGTGGTGAACAAAGGTCGACTGAAGCATTGAGGTAAGCCTTCGGACCTTGGGTGTAATTCCCTTGACTGTTCCACCAAGCCCTGAAAGGGTAGAGGTTGTGATTGTGTATATAAATGCAATAAAATAGTGTAATGCTTTGTTATACGTATGTGTATGCATTTGGTGTCGCATAGGATGGTGTTTCCCTACGTTGGTATGTGGCATGACGATGCGTAAATCATACTTGGTAGTTAGCTGGCCAGTAGGACTATTTGCATCTGAGTTTCCTTAGGATAGGTTGAGAGCTCGAGGGATTTCTCCTGGAGATGTTATTGCACTTTGCATAGATATGTATTTACTGCATTATTATTGTTATTGCTATTACACTGATATGGAACTGTGGGGTGGAGAGATGCTCCAAGGACCCCTGGTTTACTGGATATATTCGTATATCTCACCCCGTGTTGTGGGGACCCCTTTCAGGTAAGGATGCTGTAGGAGCCACCAGTGGCAAGTGGTCATATCTGGATTAGCATATGCATGAAGTGTTGCAATTTTGAGATTATACATGTTGTTTTGTAGCTCACATGTATAGAATTGTAATTAATAGGCAATGATAGATTTACGATTTGTATATTGGAATGGACTTAGCCTATGCTCATGCCTTTGGCTATCTCTTTTGTTGATGGGAGCCAAGGGAATGATCATAGTGTTTTGTAAGCTAAGTTCCATGATTTGTAATGAATATGTACTGTAAATGATGCATACTTGAAATTCAATATATGCATGTTGTTATATATTGAGTTATTGAATTGGTTGGGCTGAGAAATCATATTAGGTACCTAGTTCTAAATTGGGAATTGTTGAGAAAACAAGGATTTTGCTACCCAAATTTTAGTACAAGCCATGAGGAAAAGGGCATGTATGCCCTTTTAGATGTGTTTGTATTATGCAAGAACTAAGAACCAATTATGGAGAGGAATTTATATGATAGATTTGGACCGTGGTGTATGTATGGAAGTTGTAGATATTTTTCTTAGCTTTCCATAGAGACCAATATTGTGTGAATTGGACAAGTACAACTCTAGTTAGAGGTAAAATACTAAGAATTGGTGAAATCTTCAGAGCTTTGGCGCACCTGGCGCCAAACTTGGCGCACCGCGCGCCATAGTGCTTGGGAGCTTCTGTTTCGTAGCGCAAATCGCGCCGGCGTTGGCGTAAATCGCGCCGGGATCACCA